TTTTTTTTTTTGGGTCCGCGTTCGGCCCGAACGGCCGAACGCATCCCCAAGGGGTCCCATACGTTCGGGCGTTCGGGTTCGGGCGTTCGGCCCGTCCCGAACGCCGGTTACCCTGATAGTAACAATAATCCATAGTATAGTTACTAGTAAGTTAGTAACAGTAATCCATCCATAGTAACAATAATCCATAGTAAAGTGTTGCGGCTGTTGCCAATGGTTGTAAATTCTCCATTTGTCGGAATGTGCCAACCAATATATTTTAACTTTTAACTTTTAAGAGTACTGTATTTATTTTATACACATATATATAATTGTCAGAGTGTGCCACAATTTTGTAAATAAAAATAATGTGCTTTCGAGGAAGGGAGACACCAGTTGGCAGCACAGTCAGAGCATGAGATACGGGAAAGAAGAAACACCTATTCAAGCATCCCGATGCGGCGGATGCGCACACCGAATCGCGCATAATACCAACGAAGATTCCAACATAAGCAATGCAGAATCATCCATAGATAGATGGAACAAGTAGGCAGAAAGAAAAGACAGAAGACAGAAGACACTGCCAGTCTGCCATACATGTAACAAAACATACCACCGCCCCGCGGCCATTCAGTGCTTTTGAGTTGTGACTGAGTTTACTGATTTCACCGAGAGGTCTCGGCACAGATCAGCACAGATCGGCACAGATCAGCACAGATCGGCACAGATCGGCACAGATCGGCACAGATCGGCACAGATCAGCACAGATCGGCACAGATCGGCACAGATCGAAGTGACTGACCTTCTGCAGTGATTGCCAATGGCAGGAGGCTGCAGTCTTATCAGCCAGCAGAGTAAGCAACTGGTATTTAACTACAGAAGCTGGCAGATCAAATGAAAAAAACAAAAAACAAAAAAAGTTCCCCGGGCTGTAATGTGGGGGACCGAGGGGTCTGTGCAACCTTTCTTTTGGGACGCTAGACCCGGTGTCCAGCAAGTGACGCCCACCCTCAATAGATCGGGGCCTAAAAAGAAAAAGAAAAGAAAAAAAAGTTCAAAAAATTACTTTGTCATGTTGTTTTTCTTTCCGCCTTCATTGGTTCATTCCATGACATCATCCTTTATATACCTTCTTTTGCTTGTTTGCTTGCTTGCTTGCTTGGTTCCTCTCTCTCTCTCTCTCTCTCTCTCTCTCTCTCTCTCTCTCTCTCTCGTTTTTTTTTTTTCCTTCACTCTTCTCTCTTCTCTTTCTCTCTTCCCTCTTCCCTCTTCCCTCTTCCCTCTTCTCTCCTCTCTTCTCATCTTCGCTTGCTTTTCATTTCGTTTTCAATTGTCTTTTTCTTCTCCCGTATCTCTTCTCCCTTCTCATCTTATCTTGTTTTCCTCTCATGTCCACACATATTGCCTCTTCCTTGTTTATAGGTCCTGCATTATGTCCTTCAACTCGTTTCATTTCGTTTCATTCCATTCCGTTTGCTCTGTTCCCAGTTCGGATCTTCTCTTCTCTTCTCTTCTCTTCTTTGCGCTTCTCTCTTTTGTCTTCCTTCCACTTTTTCTTTTGCATCATGCAACCTGGCCTCAGTAAATCAAAGCTTTTTTTTTTTTTAATCCATTTTTTCTCCTTTCTTTTCTTGTGCAATGACTTGCTGGTTCCAGGTTGCCTGTAGCCTCTCTCAGACGAGACTGTACCATAGGTAGGGACAGATTCGTAATTTTGTTTGGCTGAGGGCTAACCAAGAGACCTACCTGTAAGGAAAATTCGTGAGGGACATATTTGTAAATATAGGAGATATGGGTCCAGTACTAACTCGAATTTCCTACAGTTACCCTAACTGCGAATAGCCGACCTGGGCTACCCCTAGGACAGACAGGCCCAATGGGCCTACGGCCCTACGCTGATAGATGGTCCTATTGCCTATAGCCGGGTAGGGAGAGGCCCTAGAGGCCGAAATAGAAACGGTACCGGTCGGTCAGTCAGTCCGGTCTAGGTCGTGTCTAGGCTAGTCTAGAGTATAGATAGGATGGGGACATTGGTCCTGGGCTTTTGGCAGGTGACACTTCGTGGTGGAAGTTGCTGCGCACACGGTATCAGGTTGTGGTTGCTGATTCCGGTGTGGGAGATGGCGGACATAGCCAGACCTTCGGAGCGCTGACCAGAAGGGGGTCAACGCTGTCCGCTCTGACCCCCTGGGAGTCAAAGTGGTCTGGGCTATCAGAGGTCTGATGTGTTGGAGCATGTGGTGCACTGCTGACCCTCCTCAGGAGTAGGGTCCCAGTGGCGATGCAGCCATAGCTGCATCGCCTCAGAGGATATCATCGTCTGGACTTCATCTTCGTCAGGGACTGTTGACGCTGAGCTTCTTCTTCATCATCTTGGTGGCGATTGGCTCTGGGAGCCTGTTTCATCTTGGCGCAGGCCACTGAGTTGGATGTCAGGGTGGCGCTGGGTGTTACCTGGGGTTCTGGTGCCATTTTTGGCTGCTCGGTGTGTGTGGGGTTGAGGCGCTACCCCTCTGAGGGTAGCGCAACAGGGTTCTGAGGTTACTCAGTGAAAACGAGCTCTGAGTTTAATAAACAGTTGTATTACTGTGTTTGAGTTGTCATCTCTTCATTGATTTCTGGCTGTGATCACTCGGTTGTCTTCTGTGAATGATTGTTGGGACTTGTGGGAGAGAATCCACAGTTTCGTGTGTTCTGTCACTTCAGACCTCTGAGTCTTCCCCTGCGTTCCTTTTGTTGGGCGGTGTGACACTCCACTACCTCTCCCCTTCCTGCTGTGCATGTATGGGCGTGTACGGGGGTTTCTGTGAGTGAGCATTGATAAAATTTCAACGGACAATCATGTTCATAACACTTGTGTAAAAAACTTAAAGAAAGGATCACTTACAGCAGAAGATTGGCAAAATAATCCAGTGTAATGGCACTTCTGGAGTCACAGATGTAGTCCTCCAAAGCCAACAGGCCAGCTAGGTACCTGTGAAGCAGAGAAACACAATAGACAGAGCAGTGGTGATCATCATAAGTAGCAGGCGAACTAGGAGGAGGAGCAGGAGGAGGAGGAGCAGGAGGAGGAGGGAGGGAGTTTCAGCCTTGCAAGCGTACTCCCCAGGGGCAGTGGAGAAAACAGAAGAGGAGGAGGAGAAAGACGTCAAGGAAGTCAAACGAGAAGATTTCAAGATAAACTCTATGACCTCAAGGAGCAGAAGAACTAGGAAAAGGAGGAGGCGGCGGAGGAGGAAGTGGGAGGAGTAGAGAAGGGGGGAGGAGGAGGGAGGAAGTAGTAGTACTAGTAGTAGTACTACTACTACTACTACTACTAGTAGTAGTAGTAGTAGTAGTAGTAGTAGTCTTGATGGTTTTTAAAAAATGGGGAGGAGGGCAAAAAGACTGCAGATGAAGTGAGCAAACTTCCCTTAGGCCGTACTCACGGTACGACTTCTTAGTCTGTTCCCTGGATTTCATTGCCCTGAGCTACATACATGAACAACAGGAATCGCTGTCAGATACGGCCGAAAAAGACCTAAGGTGTATATGCTCTCACACCTTCACAGTGGGGGGGAAAAAACAAAAGTTACAAAACAAAGAAAAAAAATCACTTTTCTCGTTTTTCTTTTCAGCATTGCCTGGGGAGACATGGCTGTGCTTGCACTCCTGTCTTTGCTTGCACTCCTTACCTTGCTGGATCGTCATGTTTTTCTATCTTGCGGTAGTACTCTTCTAACTCATCTTTTTTAATATGCTGCCACTTCTCCAGTTTGGGCAGAGTTTGGGTGTCCCCGCCCGTGAAGGTCATGTCTTGCGATCCTGCAGTGCGAGAAATGCAGAGGCCAACACAGACAAACCCGGAAGTAAGAGGGTTAAGGGTGCTAAAAGTTGGAAACCGATAGAAATTTGAAACCACTAGAAGTTTGAAACCGCTAGAAGTTTGAAACCACTAGAAGTTTGAAACCACCAGTTCACACGTCGAGCCTAAGTTGACGAAGCTATCTTCCTTCCAAGGCTCGCGACCCTGCAACTGCGCCTTTTCAAAATGGCCTGCCGCTTTCTCCAAAGGCCCAGCCCTGAATAGTGTAAAACTCTCTCTCTCTCTCTCTCTCTCTCTCTCTCTCTCTCTCTCTCTCTCTCTCTCTCTCTCTCTCTCTCTCT